CGACGGAGGTCTTTGACATCATGACCCAGTGTGTGCAGAAAGGGGCGCCTTGCACCAGGTTTAAAGGCCCCCGGAATCGCGTGTTCACATTTTCGCCACCACTAATCATCTATCGGGGGCGATGGCGTAGGAGTCTTAAATGAGTTACTGCACCTTTGGCTAGGTGCTAGTCTTAGAAGTTGCCCCGTAGTCGACGGAATTAGGTTAATGGTCCAACATTACTTTCTGACCTGTACGAGTGGAAAATCGGGTGAACGGTTAATTGATTCGGGAAACTAAACATCCTTTCTGTTTTCGTCTGATTTTCGCCTTCTACAAGAATTTTTATGACCTCACTCTGTTTTGAATCTGTCTGCAAAATTATACGAAGTCTCTGAACTGAATGAACCGACTCGGAATTTTACGAGGGTGGAGTTATTTCCGGTGAACAAGTTTCACTTCTGTTAATAACGTCGTGTTTCGTAACTACAATGAATATTTGGACGTTGATATACAAGTTTTGATTTGTTGTTGTTTTCTTTCGTCCCTTTTTTTTCTTCGAAAATAGAATGTATAAAATTGGGGAATAACATTTTCGTCTTTCTAAAACAACCTTTTACCAGGAACCATTGGCAAGTCATCTCAAACAATAAATTGCGAAAGTTTTCGAAGAGCTTTATGTGTGTTTCCAAGTTCAAACAATTTATATTTTCAGTTGTGGTCAGAAATTTCTGAATCGTGTCGCAAAGTTCAAACTAATTAATTATAAAATTACAACATGTGCAACTATTTTTCGTTATTTTTCGTAATAACTACAACCACGTTTAATGTTACAATAAAAAAGTTTTCCCAACCCGGTTATCATCATAGCGCTTTTAATTTATTACGAAAGTTGTGAAGCTTTGTAGTTACACATTCCACGATTAGAACTTTATTTAAAATTTAGTTCAACAACTAATTTCATTTCACAAAACAAAAAAATTGTAATAAAGACATTTGTAACGCGACGAGATAGGTCGTTTATGCTTTAAAACTTTTAATTTTTATATGTTAATAAAATGATATATAAACCCATCGTTATGAATGGTCATGTAGTTAAACTAAAATATGACCAGCATGTAACACAGATATAGATCTTAATTAAAATTTGCCGGGAAATTCTCAACGACGCCGTCGCGGTCTCGAATTTCTCGATTAGTTTTCCCTACAACGCGTTAAACGTATTCATAGGGGAGAAATTAAAGCCAAGATAAGCGCGGACGAGAATCGACGATTTGGTCCTTGTTATTTCGCCAGTTATTAGTTAACAACTATTACGATCCAAGTTGAGAAATCAAATTACACCTGTATAGAAACAACGAGTAACTACTCTCATCCTTCTCTGGTTTATTGTTGTAGATGGAGAATTCAGTTTCGATCATAAACTTTTAATACAATCAATTAACTTTACCTATTTCACTTTTCAAAACTTTTACCACGTAGAAATTCTTTTCTTTATAACTTTAAAAATTGTAGGTGTGATAATTCAGTAGTAATGTTGGGAACTAAATTAGGCAGATAAGAACTTACAAGTTTCCACTGGATTTGAACTATTTTCGGCTATTATACACAATTTGAGGATCAAGAATAGCAATGTTCAGACTATAAATTAATCATTCGATGAAGAAGGGCAATCAGATTAAGTTAAGATCTTAAAGAACTTATGCTATTATACTCTTAAGACAGCTTAAGATTAATAAGAAAAAGATTTTTTTGAAAAAAGAAGGATTATACGTAGTTGCTGCTATGACTTGTATAATTACGACTTGAAATACGACCAAGTGGTCACATCGCAGAACCACAATATTGTAATGATGATGACCTATATTTGGATATTGATCCCAAAGCCCCATATACAAATTATATCGGCAAACTTCTTCAAAAATTTTAAAACTTTTATGTTGTAACGCCTGTTTACGGTTCTAGGAAGTTTTGCGGATACAACATTTATCACAACTCGAACATTTAATTTTGTAGATTAACAATAAGTGCAATCACAGGTCTTGTTAAGATTATCAGTTACAACTGGAATGAAAGGAAGCCTCACAATTTTAGAAGAAGTAAGAAGGTACTCATCATCAAGAGGATAAGTCATAAAAAATGCAATTGGGAGGGACTGTTGTCACTGGAGGTAAATTCAATAGGAAGAAATGAATTTACACCATCATTACAGAAGTTCTCTAACAGTGTTTTGAGGTTGAAAGAAGAAATTTTGAGTCTAAAATACGTAATCGTGCTTTCCATACTGTTTTAAGTTGTCAATTTTAACTTGCAAAGCTTTTTCTGGTTTTTTCATCATCAAAGAATTCAAAAAAGCCACATTATTATTGGATTCCGTTTCGCAGAATTAGATTTTTGTCAACACTATCATGAAGTTTTAAGGCTCTCCTAACCAACTTAATAATTGGTAGCTCTGATTCTACATGAATTGATTCTAAGGTCTTATAAAGTCTCAAAATGTCTGACTTTTTAACAAATACCTTTGTAATTATCTCTGATTATTTTATCAAATTGAAACTTGTTCATCAAAACATTGAATTTTTTAATATAGCTGCAAAAAGGAGTCTGGTAACAAAGGAAAGAGATTGAACATAGACAGCAAGACAGAAGGGATACTGGAAATGACTGTAAATGCAAGAAAAGAACTAGACACAGAAGAGGAAGACTAAAAAAGATGGTAATGGAAGAACGAGATTGCACAGAGACTGAAAAGAGAAAACAAATATTAGGTGGGAGACTAGAACGTAACTTCAGTGCCTGAACGGAACTCAGGAGAGAAAAGGAAAACTAGAATGAGACTGATAATAGAAGAAAGAGATTGATCAAAAACTAGAAAGAGTATAAAGATATCGTAAGATGGGCTTTCTTGGACACGTTTTTTGCGCATTTTTCAAGATTAAAAGTGAAGAAATAAAGTTAGGGCAACAGAAACTTGTTCATCAACCCAACCTAACCTTCACGATTATATAGCTATCATAAAACATTGAAAATACCTTATACAAACAACAAAAAATATATAAAAAAGTGATGTCCGAATAGCCCCGTTGTTGGGGCTTCTTGGACACTAAACTTCGTTTTAGGGACAATCTCTTACTTTGCATGTCAGATGGTCAAGTTTCCCTGAAAATGTAACTAAAGCATTAAGGATGTATTTTTATGTAAAAGACACATTTTTTTAAAAAGAAGCGATAAATCTGGACCCTTCCCTTGTTTATCCTGGTATCTTTTCACCACATCTCGAATGTCGGTCTTTGTCAAGGGGAACCCTCAATTCGCAACAACAGCCAAAGTTTCAGAAATCAACAGTTCCTCAGACTTGCTTAAAACAGTCGGATGTCCAACGGGTCTTGAATTCCTTCCAAGCATCTTCCGTACTAATGTTGTCAGGCACTTTGAACGTTTGTGCGGCATTTTTCTGCGTGTAGGGATGTATATTAAGGGTGATTTAAGCATTGATGATGCAATTGCACAAGGCCTTGAAGTTTGGTAATTTTGAGCTATTTTAAGTATAGAGCGGTGTTCTTCATTTTTTATTGATCTTAATATCAATATCTTATCGGCAGATGAAATGCATTTAGTTTTTCGATATCTTCAATAATAAGGAAGATATCAGCTAAGAACGTAGATAGGAAATTACGGGTAAAAGTTTATTGCTGGGATGTTTGTTGCTATCGTCGCACGGGTACTAACTAATAGGGGTCCTGGGTGCAAAATGTGTGTGAACAATCCTGTGACAGTACAAGACGGAGAGGGGAGCCTCGCGCGGAAGGATAGCCTTCCTCCAGTTCATAAATTTCCCGATTGTTATCGAAAAAATATGCAAGACATCGATGGGACGAAATCATTTCTATCACAACTCAATACAAATTTGTCTGGAGAACTCTGACGCACGCGTTCCAAATCAAAAAGTATATAAAATTGAAATTTCACCTCTGCATTCATAAATACGACAGATTGACAGTTTGCTATATATTGCCTACAAGCTAAATGTAAGAAAATTGCAATTCAGTGGCAACTATAAAAGCTGTTATACAACACCAATTTAGAAAAGAGATATTGAATTGTTAGCAAACGTGTCAAAGCAATCAACTAGAAATGCGAATGATAGCACTTGAAACGTTATTAAATCCTTTATCTGATTACACATTTTTTTTTCATATAAATTGGCTTTTTAAATTGTATTAAACAACTCAAACGTTGTATGAGCCTCCACTATCATGAAATATATTTCGATATTAAATTTCAATCGTATCGTTTAACCGGAAATTATACTCCAGATTATTTTTATTCGCTTCAAAATGAGAATACAAATGGAAACAAAAAAAATGGTTTATCATAATCAGTGGGTTCATTGAAGAAATTCTTTTGTTGATTTGATTATTAATCGCTGAGTTGTTATAATTTATCTTAAAATAGATGATAAATGATATAATAAATCTTATTTAGTTAAAATTTAACTTGTAAAAACGAAAATGTGAATGTAACTTTTAAAAGCAATCAAATTAAAAGCTCTTTCGTTTTCGTTGTACATTTATTATTTTCGTAAACGATTTCCTTTTTTCTGATTTCTTTTCATTAACTCCTTCATCTCAAGAATGATTTATGCGTGACGTAGTTTGATTTATAACATTAATAATATTTTTATACCAAACGATAGAAGCGGTAATTTTGTAACACATCGAATGATGGACGGTCTGTTATAAAACCTGTCCGATCTTAAATGAACTATAGAGCTTTCCCAATAAATAAATTCTTATATCCACAACGTAAATATATCTTTACATAGTAATAAATTAATCATCGCTGTACATCTTAAAAACAACACCCACTTTTTTTGGGTTTCATCAAAATACACATCATAAACATAAAGATTATTAATAATAATAATTAAATTTTTTTTAATAATAAACACGTTTCATAAAAAATTGTGTAGTAAAGTTGTGTATATTCAAAAATTTCTTTTTGAATAAAAATTGACTTACTTTTACTTTTTTGCCGCGCTTGGCGGCAATGGCACGTGATTTCCTCCGTATTCTATCCAGATGGGCGGCTTTAAAAAAATCTATTCGGAAAAAAATTAAAAATGTAAAAAAAATTTTTCACGAAACCCGCACGATTACCCGGTTAGCGCTAAGGGGTTGTGCGGCGGCGTCGCGACGTCGTCCTCGTTTTCGGGAAAGCGCGCGCGCGTTTCTTGCCGTTCCGCCGAACTGAAAGATTCAAGGGACGCCCGGCTACTGGTGAAACGACGCCGGGCGTCGCGGTGCGCTGATAACGAACGGACCACGCAGGTTTTTCCCAAACCATCCAAAACCAACCAAACCCCAATTTCAACCAATCTCGAACTCCCTCCTGGCTTAAAACCACGACTTCCATATAAATTATTGCCATATTAATGTTAGCGACATAATGTTAATCCTTTTAAATCCAAATCGGAAGATATTATTACCTATAAACAAGATAAACAATTAAAGAGAAACTTGTAATAGTATAAAACATTAATAAATGCAAATAATTTTTATTTTACCTCACATTTTTAAAGTTATCTTACTTAAATCAATCTACTAATAGTACTCGGTACTATTTTTATAGTATAATTATGGAAAAACCACACTTTCCAAGAATTTTAGGCATATTAAGTTCTTATTTGACAGCTGAAAACTTAAATTAATAAAATTTTTGTTTATTACTTAGTAATTATAAAAGAATTGACCATACCAGCAAAAAACAAGGTTAATAACCAAGTCTAAATGCAATAATCCATAATTAGTTTAAAATAATTTTGAAAAAGGAATATAGGTTAGAAAATCTTGACAATTACTTTTTAAATTTAAATCAACTTCTTCCACTGTTATCTTTACAAAAATATCTTCGTGTTTCATCTGTAATCATATTCTATAACTCAATAAATTAGCTAGAAAGAAAGAAATTTGAAAGTTTAAGAAAGCTAAATGAATATTAAATAATAAAAAACTAAAAAACAAAAAAAAAAATCCACAACAAAAACATCTCACACAGATAAAAAAAATAGAGTGTTATAGACACAGATCGCCACAAAATTAAAACACAAAACACACAAAAAACCAAAAAAACAAACAATTTCGTGGTGGTGAATCGTCTTGTGAATATTTTCTTGACGTTTTATCGATTGAGGGGTTGTTTTAGTGCCATCAGGTCGGAGGAGGAAATAGAGAAGATTGAGATAACCGATTTCGACATAGAAAATGAGTTCACCATAAACCGTTCGCGACGGAAACAAACCAACGACTTCCATATAAATTATTGCCATATTAATGTTAGCGACACAATGGTAATCCTTTTAAATCCAAATCGGAAGATATTATTACCTATAAACAAGATAAACAATTAAAAAGAAACTTGTCATAGTATAAAACATTAATAAATGCAAATAATTTTTATTTTATCTCACATTTAAAAGTTGTCTTACTTAAATCAATCTATTAATACTATATTTTTATAGTGTAATCATGGAAAAAGCACATTATCCAAGAATTTTAGGCATATTAAGTTCTTATTTGACAGTTGTAATCTTAAACAACTTAAAATAAAATTTTTGTATATTACTTAGGCATTATAAAAGATTTGACCATACCAGCAAAAAACAAGGTTAATAACCAAGTCTAAATGCAATAATCCATAATTAGTTTAAAATAATTTTGCAAAAGGAATATAGGTTAGAAAATCTTGGCAATCACTTTTTAAATTTAAATCAACTTCTTTAACTTTCATCTTTACACATATATCTTTATGTTTCATCTGTAATCATATTCTATAATTCAATAAATTAGCTAGAAAGAAAGAAACTTAAAATTTTAAGAAAGTTAAATTGATATTAAACTAAATGTCAAAAAAATCTGCATTACCAACATTTATGACAGATCTAAACAATATCGTATTTTAATGACAGATGTCGCCACAATCTTAACCTATAACACCCATAAAACGCCAAAAAACGCATCAATTTCGTGGTGGTGAATCGTTTTGTGAATATTTTCTTGGCGTTTTATCGATTGAGGGGTTGTTTTAGTGCCATCATGTCGGAGGAGGAAATAGAGAAGTTTGAGATAACCGATTTCGACATAGAAAATGAGTTCAACATAAACCGTTCGCGACGGAAACAAACCAAACAACAACAAATTTATGGTAATTATGTTCCGAGGCTTCTACGCAATCGAAATAAACATCTATAAATACCGTTTTTACAGGAATTTGGGCTGATGATAGTGATGAAGAAGAAGATGCGAGACCTTCTTTTAAATCTAAAGCTCAAAAAAGCTATTCTGCACCTATCGGATTTGTTGCAGGTGGGGTTCAACAATCTGGTAAGAAAAAAGAGGAAATGATTAAAAAAGAGGGTGATGGTTCTGATGATGATGAGGCGGGAACTTCTTATGGTGTTAAAAATAGTAGTAGTGAATCAGAAGAAGAGGGATTTTCGAAGAGAGGTAAAAAACGAAATTTATAAAATATTAATAATATTGTTTTTTTTTATGTTAATTAGGTTTTGGATCTTCAAAAAAACAACCAACACAAGCGACTGTAACTGAAATAACAGCCGATATCGCCGGATTAAGAAGTAAAAAGGGTTTTGTTAATAATAAGATGAAAAATGAAGGAGTTGGAAATTGGGAGAAACATACAAAAGGAATTGGGGCTAAATTATTACTTCAAATGGGTTTTAAACCAGGGAAAGGTCTTGGGAAGGATTTGCAAGGTATTTCAACTCCTGTTGAAGCACATTTAAGAAAAGGTAGAGGAGCTATTGGTGCTTATGGGCCTGAAAAGAAAACAACTTTAATAAAAAAAGTATTTAATTTTTTGTGTTTGATTAATATGAGATTTGTATTAATTTATTTTTTGTTAAATAAGGCTAATCTTCAGATTGAGGATCAGGAGGAAGAGCAAGAAACTAAATGGAAAAAGAATGATGGAGGAAAGAAGACTCGTTACTACTATAAAAGCGTTGATGATGTCATAGAAAAAGGTAAACGTCCTGGAGCTAATAGAAATTTGGGACCGGCAAGGTAACAGTGCAATTTGTGCATTTAAAAAAAATCGTTTCAAAAAAGATTATAAAAAAAATAATTATTGGTTTTTTTCTTTTTATTGACCAGCAATTATTTAATTTTGCGTGTCATCTTTGCTCTTATATTTTCTTCTTTCCCTTTTCAAACATTAATTTAAGCACTTTCAACTTACTTTTTCACTTTAATGTTTATTTTATGTAAATTTTTAATAAATACTTTTTTATTTATATTTAAAGTTAATCTAAACAACTTTAATTTTTACAGTGAGCTGTCTAAGGTAAAAGTAATCGACATGACGGGGCCTCAACAAAGAGTTCTCAGCGGATATCACGCATTGAGTGGTTTAAAAGCACCTCCCGGAGTGGAAAGATTCGAAGATGTTGTTCACAAGAAATGCACCAATTTTACTCTTCCAGAAATACAACATAATTTGGATTTATTAGTTGATATGTGCGAGCAGGTTATTTATTTTAATTTAGTTTTATTGAATTTAAATTAAATTTGTTTTTCTTTTAGGATATTATTAGAATTGATAGAAACACAAGAAACAATCAAGATAAACTCCAATTTCTTAAACAAGATGAAATTAATGTGAAGAACACTTTGATTAAAGAAGAAGAAACTGCTGAAACTTTAAGTGAAGTTTTAGAAATAGTCAACAAACTTATGGATACATCTTTAGGGTTATCACTTGGTCAAGTTGCTGGTATTTTTAAACAATTACAGGTATTTGTATATATTTTGTCATTAAAATTGACCATNAGAAAGAAAGAAACTTAAATTTTTAAGAAAGTTAAATTGATATTAAACTAAACGTCAAAAAAAATCTGCATTACCAACATTTATGACAAATCTAAACAATATCGTATTTTAATGACAGATGTCGCCACAATCTTAACCTATAACACCCATAAAACGCCAAAAAACGCATCAATTTCGTGGTGGTGAATCGTTTTGTGAATATTTTCTTGGCGTTTTATCGATTGAGGGGTTGTTTTAGTGCCATCATGTCGGAGGAGGAAATAGAGAAGTTTGAGATAACCGATTTCGACATAGAAAATGAGTTCAACATAAACCGTTCGCGACGGAAACAAACCAAACAACAACAAATTTATGGTAATTATGTTCCGAGGCTTCTACGCAATCGAAATAAACATCTATAAATACCGTTTTTACAGGAATTTGGGCTGATGATAGTGATGAAGAAGAAGATGCGAGACCTTCTTTTAAATCTAAAGCTCAAAAAAGCTATTCTGCACCTATCGGATTTGTTGCAGGTGGGGTTCAACAATCTGGTAAGAAAAAAGAGGAAATGATTAAAAAAGAGGGTGATGGTTCTGATGATGATGAGGCGGGAACTTCTTATGGTGTTAAAAATAGTAGTAGTGAATCAGAAGAAGAGGGATTTTCGAAGAGAGGTAAAAAACGAAATTTATAAAATATTAATAATATTGTTTTTTTTTATGTTAATTAGGTTTTGGATCTTCAAAAAAACAACCAACACAAGCGACTGTAACTGAAATAACAGCCGATATCGCCGGATTAAGAAGTAAAAAGGGTTTTGTTAATAATAAGATGAAAAATGAAGGAGTTGGAAATTGGGAGAAACATACAAAAGGAATTGGGGCTAAATTATTACTTCAAATGGGTTTTAAACCAGGGAAAGGTCTTGGGAAGGATTTGCAAGGTATTTCAACTCCTGTTGAAGCACATTTAAGAAAAGGTAGAGGAGCTATTGGTGCTTATGGGCCTGAAAAGAAAACAACTTTAATAAAAAAAGTATTTAATTTTTTGTGTTTGATTAATATGAGATTTGTATTAATTTATTTTTTGTTAAATAAGGCTAATCTTCAGATTGAGGATCAGGAGGAAGAGCAAGAAACTAAATGGAAAAAGAATGATGGAGGAAAGAAGACTCGTTACTACTATAAAAGCGTTGATGATGTCATAGAAAAAGGTAAACGTCCTGGAGCTAATAGAAATTTGGGACCGGCAAGGTAACAGTGCAATTTGTGCATTTAAAAAAAATCGTTTCAAAAAAGATTATAAAAAAAATAATTATTGGTTTTTTTCTTTTTATTGACCAGCAATTATTTAATTTTGCGTGTCATCTTTGCTCTTATATTTTCTTCTTTCCCTTTTCAAACATTAATTTAAGCACTTTCAACTTACTTTTTCACTTTAATGTTTATTTTATGTAAATTTTTAATAAATACTTTTTTATTTATATTTAAAGTTAATCTAAACAACTTTAATTTTTACAGTGAGCTGTCTAAGGTAAAAGTAATCGACATGACGGGGCCTCAACAAAGAGTTCTCAGCGGATATCACGCATTGAGTGGTTTAAAAGCACCTCCCGGAGTGGAAAGATTCGAAGATGTTGTTCACAAGAAATGCACCAATTTTACTCTTCCAGAAATACAACATAATTTGGATTTATTAGTTGATATGTGCGAGCAGGTTATTTATTTTAATTTAGTTTTATTGAATTTAAATTAAATTTGTTTTTCTTTTAGGATATTATTAGAATTGATAGAAACACAAGAAACAATCAAGATAAACTCCAATTTCTTAAACAAGATGAAATTAATGTGAAGAACACTTTGATTAAAGAAGAAGAAACTGCTGAAACTTTAAGTGAAGTTTTAGAAATAGTCAACAAACTTATGGATACATCTTTAGGGTTATCACTTGGTCAAGTTGCTGGTATTTTTAAACAATTACAGGTATTTGTATATATTTTGTCATTAAAATTGATCATCCCTCATAGGGGTATTTATGCAAATTAGGCGGCCAAAATGTTTTTTTAATTTATTTCAGTTTTATTCTTTTGGTAAACATATGTAGAAATAGAAAGGTAAATAGTTGTACCTCCAATTTTACCCATTATTGAGTTAATATTATTTTCAAACTACATACATTTGGTTTGTTATTCTGACAAAAAATCGTAACTCTATGTTTCTTGATTATTTGTTATTGTATTTATTAAAAAGCAGTATCTCCATTCCCAATTAAATAGTTATAAACGTTGTTTTGATAAATTTCCCAATATGAAGGAAACTACAATAAATAGATATGGAAATGTTTATAGATAATTTATAGAGAATTAAATTACCTTTCTGATAGGCTAAAAAAATATGGAGCGTTCGATTTAAAATTGTCTATTTTCTCGCCATTGAATATAGAGAAAAGGTAATTCAATTTTTGACCAGATAATAATAAGATACTCTGATACAACAAATGACAGTGCCTTTGACAGCATCTTAAGAGTAATCATACGAATTTTGAATTAACGTTGACTGAGATATCAGGTTTTAAAGAGCATGGTGAAATTTGCCAAAAAAAGCTTAAAACCAAAATAACTCCAAAACGAAAAACGCTAGGTACCAATAACTTTTATCAAAATCAACATATTTTTTTATGTACAATTAAAAGGTGCAATAAAAACTATAGCATTGTATTTAAAATAACGAAGTTATGGTCAACTTCTGATAGACCGGAATTAGCGACCATTTTGAAAATATTTTAGATCGAAAGTTCCGAATGAACAACCCATGCTACCAAAATTTCAAACCTCTACGAATAGTGGAACCTGAAAGTTGACACCTGTATAAAAATAAAAAATAATTTAACATTAAAAAGTATTTCAACTCTAATTTAAAATGAAGAGTCCCTTCATCAAGGCTCAATTGACTCATTCACTATCAGAATCTTCTGCAGTAGATTCCTCATCATCTAATTCTTGTCAGCCATGTGGGGCAAAAATCAGCATTTCTAAGGCTTCTTTAGTATGGGGCATAGATTTATTTCGTGGTTTTTGTCTAATGCTAGACAATAATGGATCTGAGCAATAATCTATTCAGTACGTCTATATTGCATTGTTCTTTAGAAAATTTTCTTGCGCAATTCTGCCGGTGCAGTCGAATATGTTTGTTGCATGCCTCTGCTGCTTCCTCAGATAACAACCCTATTGGCAAAAGAAAATTTTCTATAATAATTGCCGCATGGATTAACATTTTGTGCTTGGTAGAGCAAACTTTTTTATATCCACTTTATGGGAACTTGAAATAACTTCCAAATCACTTTTAACTAGAGATGGAACGGATAGTGATTTTGCGAAAAGCCGGATATGGTTATAATTTCTGGTACATTTCTGAAGTGATAACCCTATATTGCCACTTTATTGCGAAATTTGGATAAAAATGAAATTAATAAGAAAGCTGATTAGATATGTCAACTTATTTGGATCCAAGATACAAAATGAAGTTTTTTGATGCAGATTTAACTAACGAAGCAACTCTAAAAAGACGATACTTTCATTAATTGGCGATATTTCCACAAGGATCCTTCAAGAAATGAATTTTACAGCGAATTTTGAAAATTATCGATGAAAATTGCAACATCGAAAATTTTATCAAAACTTCAAATATTGTTTTCTCAAAAACTAAAAGTTATTTTTCAAAACGGGTTGGTTCATTGGAAAGAGGACACTTTTATTAACACTTTGGGAAATTTTCATACTCATATTCCAAGAAATGGATTTTATACGAATTTTTAAAACTTAATCGGCGAAAATTGCAAAATTCGAAAAAATTGTCGATTATTTCAAAAATTTATTTCTCAAGAACTAAAAGTGATTTTTCAAAACGGCTTTTTGCATTAAAGAGAGGATACTTTAATTAATAATTAGTGATATTTCCACAAGGATCCTTCAAGAAATGAATTTTACAGCGAATTTTGAAAATTATCGATGAAAATTGCAACATCGAAAGTTTTATCAAAACTTCAAATATTGTTTTCTCAAAAACTAAAAGTTATTTTTCAAAACGTGTCGGTTCATTGGAAAGAGGACACTCTTATTAACACTTTGGGAAATTTTCATACTCATATTCCAAGAAATTGATTTTATACAAATTTTTAAAACTTAATCGGCAAAAATTACAAAATTCGAAAAAATTGTCAATCATTTCAAAAATTTATTTCTCAAAAACTAAAAGTGTTTTTTCAAAACGGCTTGTTGCATTAAAAAGAGGATACTTTAATTAACAATTAGTGATATTTCCACATTTTCTCATTTTCTCAGCCCCATTTGCTCCCTAAATTTGTTCTATTGCAGCCTCTTTCTGTTTGACTATATCTTTGTCTTGTTCCGACCTTAACTGTCATTTTTTCACAGGAATTTTATATGCTAAATGCAGTATGCTTTCGAAAAAGCGAATCATAGCATGCAGCACCGATTGCCCGAACTGTATTGCGTCAATATCGACTGTTTTCTTTATGTTGAGGTTATTAAATTCCTTTAATGTCACAAATGTAGCATCTCATGATTGAAGTAGTGGCTGTTGCAGCATTACATACTTTGGCGTCGACCATAGTCACAGTCATGATATGCCTTGTATACAGGGTGTTTCTGTAAGTCGTGGCATAATTTTAATCACTACAGTCAAAATGATGACGATTCGTGTAAAAATTTTTGGACTAAACCCATAAATGGCTAAGATATAGGCCTTCAAAGTTAAAACATTTTCTTAAATATTTTCAATATGACATGTCTTAGAAAGATAAAATTTGGCAAACAGTGTAATGTTATCATCAGAAATCGTTTAAGATAACTTTTGAAAATATGCAAACACAGGTCATTGCTATACAGGTGTTTACAAAGGTTATTTCCTTAAATCATTTTTATTATGTGATAAACCATTACATTTTGCAACTGAGTCTGTTAAGAAAATTGTTGATTAGACGCATCGTTTTAGAGTTATTTACAAAAGGATTTAAGTTTGTTTAAAAGAAATCTGTCAAAGTATTACTCAACGTAGCATGAAATCTGATCTAATTGTGACTGCTTTTCACACTGCTTGCTTGCTTTGTATGCCTTTTGATATGCTTTTGCAGTCTGCGAAGAGTTAGAAATGTCTTTAAAAATATTGGACGCAATTCTCTCTCTTAGAACTTTGAAAGGATGTTTGAGCAGCATGCATTAACACATCTTTTTCTACAAATTTGTGAACATCCTGTGTTTTTCTGCGCTTACTCCTCTCACTTGATTCTGCAAATGCCTTTATTAGACTACCAGAAGAATAAGGTTTAGTCGTCGGCGTCGCTATTTTGAATGTTCCTTGTAACCATTTATCATTCTTTCGAAGGAAAAGTTGTGATTTTTTTGAGTATCTGAATGAAAGTTTCTTTTGTTCATCACAATATTCCAATTGTGATAAAATATAACTACTAAGATAAGCCAACTTTTCGTCTCAAGTCTTGATCCTGCATTTTGTCAAAAAGTAATCTACGCGTTATCACTTTAACCCCAGAGGTATCCTCGGATTCTTAAACAAAATGAGAATTCGTTTAAAAGAAAAATAAATGAAATAGTAAAATTAGGCGGTCTTGCACTATATCATTTATTGACCTTGAAAACTGTGATTTTAGGGAAGATCCTGGCTAATCTCAACGTTTTTAATTAGATGAAATTCTTTATAGTTATATGTAAAAACTAACAAAACTAAAGGAACCGGCNTCCTTCAAGAAATGAATTTTATAGCGAATTTTGAAAATTATCGATGAAAATTGCAACATCGAAAATTTTATCAAAACTTCAAATATTGTTTTCTCAAAAACTAAAAGTTATTTATCAAAACGGGTTTGTTCATTGAAAAGAGGACACTTTTATTAACACTTTGGGAAATTGTAAATGGAGTACTCCCTACTTTTAACCGTCTTATTAGATTTAAATCCACACCGGTGATTTTAGCAGAAACTTCTGGATTGGCAAAAAATTTTCTGCTGGTATTCCCATCATTGGCATTGCCAAAGCCAGCTTTCAGTATATCCGTAGTAGCCTCATTTGCTCCCTAAATTTGTTCTATTACAGCCTCTTTCTGTTTGACTATATCTTTGTCTTGTTCCGACCTTAACTGCCATTTTTTCACAGGAATTTTATATGCTAAATGCAGTATGCTTTCGAAAAAGCGAATCCTAGCATGCAGCACCGATAGCCCGAACTGTATTGCGTCAATATCGACCGTTTTCTTTATGTTGAGGTTATTAAATTCCTTTGATGTCTCAAATGTAGCATCTCATGGTTGAAGTAGTGGCTGTTGCAGCATTACATACTTTGGCGTCGACCATAATCAAAGTCATGATATGCCTTGTATACAGAGTGTTTCTGTAAATCGTGGCATAATTTTAATCACTACAGTCAAAATGATGGCGATTCGTGTAAAAATTTTTAGACTAAACCCATAAATGACTAAGATATAGGCCTTCAAAGTTAAGACATTTTTAAACATTTTCTTAAATATTTTCAATATGACTTGTCTTAGAAAGATAAAATTTGGCAAACAGTGTAATGTTATCATCAGAAATCGTTTAAGATAACTTTTGATAATACAAAGGTTATTTCCTTAAATCTTTTTTATTATGTGATAAACCATTACATTTTGCAACTGAGTCTGTTAAGTAAATCTTTGATTAGACGCATCGTTTTAGAGTTATTCACAAAAGGATTTAAGTTTGTTTAAAAGAAATCTGTTAAATATTGCTCAACATAGCATGAAATCTGATCTAATTGTGACTGCTTTTCACACTGCTTGCTTGCTTTGTATGCCTTTTGATATCCTTTTGCAGTCTGCGAAGAGTTAGAAATGTCTTTAAGAATATTGGACGCAATTCTCTCTCTTAGAACTTTGAAAGGATGTTTGAGCAGCATGCATTAACACATCTTTTTCTACAAATCTGTGAACGTCCTGTGTTTTTCTGCGCTTACTCACTTGATTCTGCAATGCCTTTATTGGACGACCAGAAGAATAAAGTTTAGTCGTTGGGGTCGCTATTTTGAATGTTCCTTGTAACTATTTATTATTCTTTAGAAGGAAAAGTTGTGATTTTTTTGAGCATCTGAATGAAGAGGACGAATGCTTCATTTGTTTCTTTTGTTCATCACAATATTCCAATTGTGATAAAATATAACTACTAAGATAAGCCAACTTTTCGTCAACATTTGTCAAGTCTTGATCCTGCTTTTTGTTAAAAAGTAATCTACGCGTTATCACTTTAACCCCAGATGTGTCCTCGGATTCTTAAACAAAATGAGAATTCGTTTAAAAGAAAAATAAATGAAATAGTAAAATTAGGCGGTCTTGCACTATATCATTCATTGACCTTGAAAACTGTGATTTTAGGGAAGATCCTGGCTAATCTCAACGTTTTTAATTAGATGAAATTCTTAGTTATATGTAAAAACTAACAAAACTAAAGGAACCGGCCCTGAAGTATAACAAAATCCTTTTTAAATGCAAAAAAAGAGAATTTACTACAGCAAACATTTCAATCTACCAATGCACTTTTTTTCCCCTAGATTTTCATAAAACTTAGTAATATTCATTTATGCTTACACTTAGTTCCATCACAATTTCCTTCACAACAAACTCTATAATAAAAATATACACTTCTCAATCACATTGTTCTATAGCTATTGAACATTCGCAGGCAGTTTTTTATTTTTACCTAAGACATATCTTACATTTTTGGCCTCCTAATTCGTGAAATTACCGTTTAGTCCTTCGTTTTTAATATTAAAATAATTTTTTTTATTATATTTATTATAAAAATGTAATTTATTGTTTATTTTAGGAACGACATATTGATGAATATTGTCAATATGGATTAGGTGAATTAGCTCCAGGTTTAGTAGGTCCATTATTAACATCAGCTTTGGCAAGTTGGCAACCTTTAAGTTCACCAAGACAATACACGGACCTGTTTAGGCAATGGAAGGAGATATTGGAAAAGCCGCTTCAACGTGGGACCCTTGAAGGTAATTGTATGGGAATTCAGCCATTTGATAGTCTCTTATGGCACACGTGGGTTCCTGTTGTCAGATCATGCATTAGGTGAGTTTCGAGGGGTTGTCGAACAAATGGAACTGATTGATTCACTTTGGGGACCCAGCGATTATTTTTTGTTAATTGAATTTTAGTTTATATCATTTCCACATACAACTTTTTTAATTCTATATTAATTTTTGCCCATTTTTTGGTTTATAGTGTTTGGAGGGCTAGAGATTGCGACCCATTAATTTATTTATTGGAAGCGTGGAAACCATTACTTCCAGTCTGGTTGATGGATAACGTTTTGGATCAATATGTTATGCCGAAATTAATAGCTGAAGTTCAAAGTTGGGATCCGTTAACTGATACTGTTCCAATTCATACTTGGGTACATCCTTGGATACCTTTATTAGGTAAGAATTAAAAAAAAATCAAATATTAATATTATTATAAATAAATTTTATCTTATTATTTTTAGATGTTAAATTACAAGATAAAATTTATCCAATAATCCAAGAAAAATTAGGAGTTTGTTTAGCAAATTGGCACCCTTCTGATAGATCTGCTAAACCAATGTTAAAACCATGGCAAAGAGTACTTCCAGAAGGATCTTTCGTCGCCTTTTTATTAAAACATATAGTTCCAAAATTACAACTATGTATGCAACAATTTATTATTTATCCCCATCAACAACCATTAGGTAATTAAATAATAATTATAAAATCAAACAATTAATAAAAACGTTTTTAATTTTTAGAACCATGGCATTGGGTTATGGATTGGAGCGATATGCTTTCAGTAGGGAACATGACTTTAATTTTAGATAAATTTTTCTTTCCACGTTGGCTTCAAACTCTAGCAATGTGGTTAAATCAAAACCCAGATTATGCTCAAGTAACCGATTGGTATTCAGGGTGGAAAAGAATGATGTCCGATCAATTATTAAAACAACCAACCATAAAAGATAATTTTCATAAAGCTTTAGAAATAATGAATAGAGCCGCTTCGTCGGGGCACCAACCTGGGGCTAAAGAATCCGTGTCTTATTTAGCAAATATAGAAACAAATATACCTTTAGCACCTCCCCCACCGAAAATATCGTCGTTTGCAGAAACCGTTAGGACAGCTAGCCAAATTCCTCAAGGTTTTAAAGATTTAGTGGCGAAAAGATGCGAAGAAAAAGGGATTTTGTTTGTTCCTATTCCTAATAAATATCACGAAGCTAAACAAGTTTATCGATTAGGATCTAATGGAGTACAATGTTATATTGATAGAAACGTTGTTTTTTATACTCAAAATAATTCCACTTGGTTACCAACTTCATTAAATCGATTGTTAGATATGGCGTGAAGAATAAATAAGTTAATTGCTCAGTTTTAATCCGGATTAAAATATATTTAAAAATAAGTGAATTACATTTAATTATTGTATAGTTAGTTTATTTACTATGTTTATAAGCGATAAATTAATGACGTTTTACTTAACTACTAATAAATATAAATAGACTTGTAACATTTCGATTTAAGTTGTTTCATTATTCACCTCATCTACATTTTTAACATTGTCATTATTAATTTCATCTTTCTCATTTCCTTCTTTATCCTGTTTTTCATCTTCTTCTTCTTCACCAATGATTAATTCTTCTGGATCGGGGGCCCTGGGTAAAAATTCGCAGTCTGTGTACAAAGCGTTAAAAATTTTTTTGGCTTTTTTAATGGAACCATCAATGTCCAAGTCCATATCAGGCCCCGGGCATAAAAACACGTTCTTTCCTAAATTTTTGGTTAAATCTGAGTCATTCGTATTCGAAGTTGAATAATAAAAGGACCATAAAATATTTGGAGGGCACTCGTTTGAGTCATCATCTTTTGGCTTAAATAGTTTTTCCACTACAAAATTTAAGTCTTCTTTCGGGGAAGCATTTTGTTCGATAAACATATGAAGAAGTACTAAAAATAAAGTTTATTTTGATTGTTAATTGGATTAAGGGGGAGGGAAAAGTAAATGGTCGCCTTTTCTACTAAATCTGAACAATGTACATCATAATATCTATGATTTTAAAGTTTATTATAGAATGTTTTTGATGTTGAAGAATTTCACAGTGGCGGCGCAGCAGCTGCGTAATGTCGGCTCCTCGGATTTGCGCTGTGCAACGCTAAAGTTTAAGTTTACGTTAAAGTTTTTTTGTTAAAATGCTTTGCATAAACTTAAATCTGAAAAAATAAGCTCCCAATAGTCTCATAGCGAAAATAACTCTTCGATTTATCTCAAAACTATTGTGACATGCATTTTACAGATATTTTAAATCCAAGTCTTCTCTCTTAATTGAGGTTTCTCTCCTGATTGTTCGATTGATAATTTTTGCTTAGATCTTCTACAAACAGCAGAAATAGCAGAAAACACGGTCACAAATTCTATAATCGCGTAGCAAAAACTATAATTCACCACGACGCACACTGGGCTGAAGCCTGATTCTAACTGGACAAAATTAAAAAATCAATGAGAAAATGTGAGGTTTTCAGGTATAGAAAATTTTTCTCGAGGCTTCAGTATACTTAATTCCTATAAACTTCCTGTAAGAAGTTACTTTGAAAACGGTTGAATGCAAATAGAGTATCAGAAAAAGTTTCAAGCACTGAAAACGTCAGATTGAAGAAGGTAAGTTCATACCATTCAAATATAAGATAGTGTGATTTTGCTGCGTGGAAATTCAAAAATTCTTTACATTTGACTTATATACACATATTGACTTACATATTGACTTCAAATTTGAGAATTTCTCTATTATGACATAGTTAATAATATATTCAAAGAAGGAGGGCCATAATGAACCATAAATTGAGGTTCATTGAGATATAACAACAAATTTTCAATTAAATATCAGTTTTAAATATAACGGATTAATACGGCAGTATCCGTTATAGCCCAATAAAAATATACAATAATCTAGATATACTAGCACTAGAACTAACAGCTTAGAACTAGAAACATTCGGGTTTAGCCGTCCTTAGAGACATGTGGCTTAACCCAAATGATTCTAGTTGTAGGTATAGTGTTAGTTCTAGTTTTAATTGTTATTCAGCGCTAGACCAAGACTAGAATCATTCGATTATTTCGAATCTAATTGATTATAACCTCAAGAGTCTCTATTTTGACGTTTTAATTATCAATTTAGGTTATAACTCAAAAACTAAAAGCTGAGGAAAAAAGTTTTGTTATTAGAAAATGTTCTATAATGTTCCCAAAAACTTTTTGTGTAATCGTTTCTATTTCAGCGTTGATTATTTCGAAACTAATTGATTATAATCTCAAAAGTCTCCATTTTGACATTTTAGTCATCAATTTAGGTTATAACTCAAAAACTAAAAGCTGAGGAAAAAAGTTTTGTTATTAGAAAATGTTCTATAATGTTCCCAAAAACTTTTTGCGTAATCGTTTCTATTTCAGCGTTGATTATTTCGAANACAGTGGCGGCGCAGCAGCTGCGTAATGTCGGCTCCTCGGATTTGCGCTGTGCAACGCTAAAGTTTAAGTTTACGTTAAAGTTTTTTTGTTAAAATGCTTTGCATAAACTTAAATCTGAAAAAATAAGCTCCCAATAGTCTCATAGCGAAAATAACTTCGATTTATCTCAAAACTATTGTGACATGCATTTTACAGATATTTTAAATCCAAGTCTTCTCTCTTAATTGAGGTTTCTCTGCTGATTGTTCGATTGATAATTTTTGCTTGCATCTTCTACTAGCTATGTCAGAAATAGCAGAATTCTATAATCTGGTAGCAAAAACTATAATTCATAACGACGCACATTGGGCTGAAGCCTGATTCTAGCTGGACAAAAGTAATAAGTATAATCAATGAGAAAATGTAAGGTTTTCAGGTATAGAAAATTTTTCTTCCTACTTAATTCCTATAAACTTCCTGTAAGAAGTTACTTTGAAAACGGTTCAATGCAAATAGAGTGTCAGACGCTCTCGCTATACACTAATACAGTGTTAATCTAACTTGTTTAGATACCCTTTAGGAAAAAGTTTCAAGCACTGAAAACGTCAGATTGAAGAAGGTAAGTTCATACCATTCAAATATAAGATAGTGTGATTTTGCTGCGTGGAAATTGAAAAATTCTTTACATTTGGCTTATACAGGGTGTTTCGGTGACTCGGGGAACAAATGTAACCTAGTATACTAGAGTGAAAATGATGACGATTCATGTAAACAAAATTAGTAAAAGTCCTCAAATTGCAAAGATACAGGCCATCAAAGTTAGGAAATTTTAACACATTTTTCTAAATATCTTAAACACTATTTATGGTAAAGCGTTGAAATTTGGTACAGTGTAAACTAATATCACGTGAAATCATTAGGCAATTTTTGAGTTGGATCGGTATTCGGGAACAGTGCTATACAGGCTGTTCCTAAACTTTGTTTGCTCAGAACTTTTTTATTCTATCATAACCCTACATTTATTTTTGCAGTTTCTAATAGTAAATTTAGTTTAGAATCTTTTATCACTCTTAGAGAATATTGATAAAGACCACCGTTACATAATGAACCAAAAATTGAGGTTCACTGCGATATAACAACAAATTTTCAATTAAATATCAGTTTTAAATATAACGGATTAATATGGCAGTGCCCGTTATAGCCCAATAAAAATATACAATAATCTAGATATACTAATGCTAGCACTAGAACTAACACTAGACCTACAACTAGAAACATTCCGTTTAGCCGCACGTCTCTTCAGATGGCTAAACCCAAATTTTTCTAGTTCTAATGTTAGTTCTAGTGACAGTGCAAGTGTAAAACTAGAATTATCACTATACCTAGAACTAGAATCATTTGGGTTTAGCCGCATGTGTCTAAGGACGGCTAAACCCGAATGTTTCTAGTTCTAAGTCTAGTGTTAGTTCTAGTTTTAATTGTTATTCAGCGCTAGATCAAGAACTAGAATCATTCGATTATTTCGAACCTAATTGATTATAACCTCAAGAGTCTCTATTTTGACGTTTTAATTATCAATTTAGGTTATAACTCAAAAACTAAAAGCGGAGGAAAAAAGTTTTGTTATTAGAAAATGTTCTATAATGTTCCCAAAAACTTTTTGCGTAATCGTTTCTATTTCAGCGTTGATTATTTCGAAACTAATTGATTATAATCTCAAAAGTCTCCATTTTGACATTTTAGTCATCAATTTAGGTTATAACTCAAAAACTAAAAGCTGAGGAAAAAAGTTTTGTTATTAGAAAATGTTCTATAATGTTCCCAAAAACTTTTTGCGTAATCGTTTCTATTTCAGCGTTGATTATTTCGAAACTAATTGATTATAATCTCAAAAGTCTCTATTTTGACGTTTTAATCATCAATTTAGGTTATAACTCAAAAACGAAAAGCTGAGGAAAACAGTTTTGTTATTAGAAAGTGTTCTATAATGTTTCCAAAAACTTTTTGCGTAATCGTTTCTATTTCAGCGTTGATTATTTCGAAACTAATTGATTATGATCTCAAAAGTCTCTATTTTGAAGTTTTAATCATCAATTTAGGTTATAACTCAAAAACTAAAAGCTGAGGAAAAAAGTTTTGTTATTAGAAAATATTCTACAATGTTCCCAAAAACTTTATGAGTAATCGTTTCTATTTCAGCGTAGATTATTTCAAAACTAATTGATTGTAATCTCAAAAGTCTCTATTTTGACGTTTTAATCATCAATTTAGGTTATAACTCAAAAACGAAAAGCTGAGGAAAACAGTTTTGTTATTAGAAAATGTTCTATAAGGTTCCCAAAAACTTTTTGCGTAATCGTTTTTATTCCAGCGTTGATTATTTCGAACCTAATTGATTATAATCTCAAAAGTCTCTATTTTGACATTTTAATCATCAATTTAGCTTATAACTCCAAAACTAAAAGCTGAGGAAAAAAGTTTTGTTATTAGAAAATGTCCTATAATGATCCCAAAAACTTTTTGCGTCATCGTTTCTATTTCAACGTTGATTATTTCGAACCTAAGTGATTATAATCTAAAAAGTCTCTGCCTCGTGCAGGTCAACAGTTCATTCTCACTCAAAGAGAAACATTACCAATTCTAGACACTACAGATTGACTGTTTCATAGCAAAAATATCGATATGATATTTTTATCACCGACTTTTTACATGCACGTGGTTTTGTTAAGATTCCAGCATAGTGAGTCATCTTTTTCGAGGTGCTGCAATCTTTTTGGCAGACTTAGATATCATACAAAGTGTGCAGAAAAACTCGAGATAGTCGATTCCTCAAACTTTCGCAGACTTCAACTTGACGAATTTTACGTCGAGACTTGGACCTGAATCTGTGTAAGACTCAACTGCTTCAAGAGTTCAAATTTAATGACCATAACAACGCCGTTTCTTCGCTAAGTGGGCTATAGAGCGTTTAGAAGAGAACCTCAATTTTGATTGATTTAACACTTTTTCATTTTCTCTTCATTTTTTCCTAAAATTTGGTATTGTTGGGATCTTTTGGGGTGCCTACATAAAATCCTTTTACATGGCTCTTTAGTCATCAAACATACCCTTATTCCAATAGGGTAGCTTACAGAGGAGGCACAGGAGGCAAGGGATAAAGACATGAGGCGATGCAGCGCCTAGCACACTAGAAAGTCCTCATATATAAAAACCTTAGTTCACAGGCTTTTAATATCATCAGATCCTGTTATTACAGGCCTTAGAACGTTCCAGTAAGTCCCATTGAAGGAGCTGAGCCCTGAGGCAAGGAAGCTGATCACGGTTTCAGTGAAAGAGAATATACAGTGTGTTAACTAATTATCATACCCGACGTCATCATTGCAAGTATGCAACCAATATCACAGTATTGGTATTGCAATACGCAAATCGCGTATTATAAAATAAATACTGTGATATTGGTTGCATACTTGCAATGATGTTAGTTATAATGTTAGTTGAGCCACTTTTTTCGATATCAAACAAGTTTTATTACTTTAAAATCATGAATATTATGATGTACACATGTTAAATGAATTTCTAAGCAAAAAAAATCCCTTAATCATTTTTGAGCTTACAAATATCCTTGGGACAAGTTCCTGTTAATGATCCCATTTCAATAACGTTACAATTTCTTTTGCCATCTTGATTTGGAAATAATAATAAAGTTNTTTCGAAACTAATTGATTATAGTCCCAAAAGTCTCTATTTTGACGTTTTAATCATCAATTTAGGTTATAAGTTGTTATAACTCAAAAACTAAAAGCTGAGGAAAAAAGTTTTGTTATTAGAAAATGTTCTATAATGTTCCCAAAAACTTTTTACGTAATCGTTTCTATTTCAGCGTTGATTATTTCGAACTTAATTGATTATAATCTAAAACGTCTTTATTTTGACGTTTTAATCATCAATTTCGGTTATATCTCAAAAACTAAAAGTTGAGGAACTATGTTTTGTTATTAGAAAATGTTCCTAAAAATATTTTGTATAATCGTTTTCATTTCAGCGTTGATTATTTCGAACCTAATTGATTATAATCTAAAAAGTCTCTGCCTCGTGCAGGTCAACAGTTCATCCTCATTCAAAGTCAAACATCAGGTTAAACCACGGTCTTCTACCAATTCTAGGCACTACAGATTGTCTGTTTCATAGCAAAAAAAAACATATAAAAACTTGCAATTCTTTGTGTATTGATATGATGTTTTTATCACCGACTTTTTACATGCATGTGGTTTTGTTAAGATTCCAGCATAGTGAGTCATCTTTTTCGAGGTGTTGCAATCTTTTTGGCATACTTAAATATCATATAAAGTGTGCAGAAAAACTCGAGACAGTCGATTCCTCGAACTTTCGCAGACTTCAACTTGACGAATTTTGTGTCGAGACTTGGACCTGAATCTATGTAAGACTCAACTGCTTCAAGAGTTCAAATTTAATGACCATAACAACGTCGTTTCTTCGCTAAGTGGACTACAGAGCGTTTAGAAGATTTATTTTCTCTTAATTTTTTGATCAAATTTGGTATTGTTGGGATCTTTTGGGGTGCTGATTACAAATCCGGGGTCAGAATTATAAACTTTTCAAACATCAAGATGACGGATATAATATAAAGAACTAAAATTGCAAGAAAAAGGATAATTTAGGCAAAGCTTGATATCCGGGGAGTTTTTGATGGTCATTGATGGCTGCTACAGGAAGCCTAGCAGCGCACACTGTAAAAGTGGACAAAGTAGTTCAAGGAAGTGGGATGTCCTATAACAATGACAAGAAAAAAAACACATTTACTTATGATACTGCCAAACTGTTTATGAAGCTATATGGCTGGTACAGGATGCCTCCCAGTCTACATAAAATCCTTTTACATGGCTCTTTAGCCATCAAACATGCCGTTGCTCCATTAAGGTAGCTTTCAGAGGAGGCACAGGATGCAAGGGATAAAGACATGAGGCGATTCAGAGCCCAGCACACTAGAAAGTCCTCATACATAAAAACCTTAGTCTCATTGAAGGAGCTGAGCCCTGAGGCAAGGAAGCTGATCACGGTTTCAGTGAAAGAGAATATACAGTGTGTTAACTAATTATCATACCAGACATCATCATTGCAAGTATGCAACCAATATCACAGTATTTGTATTGCAATACGCAAATTGCGTATTATAAAATAAATACTGTGATATTGGTTGCATACTTGCAATGATGTTAGTTATAATGTTAGTTGAGCAACTTTTGCGCCGCAACTTTTTTCGATATCAAACAAGTTTTATTACCTTAAAATCATGAATATTATGATGTGCAGATGTTATATGAATTACTAAGCAAAAAAAAATGACCAATTACTTGACCCTTAATCTCCCTCAATCATTTTTAAGCTTACAAATATCCTTGGGACAAGTTCCTGTTAATGATCCCATTTCGATAACGTTACAATTTCTTTTGCCATCTTGATTTGGAAATAATAATAAAGTTAAATGTTCCTTCTCACTACTCATAATCGATCTAAAAATCGAATTTTATTTTTAATACAACTACTTATTAAGCTTTACCGGTCAATAACAAAAATTCCTCTTGAAATCCTTTTCTCAGAAACATCCCCAACGAAACTTTTGGGCGCTTTATCAACCCCCATAACCAAATTACTCCCATTAATTCGTTGTTTACCACAAATAATACCCTTAAAATCATTCCCTTTATCAAAAATAAACCCGTTTAATTTTTGATTTAAAGCATAAACCCCACCAAAAACGGCACTTAATCTAAAACAATTTGATTCATTTTCATAATTATTTAATCCAACCTCATTTATTAATTTTTCTCACCTACAAAAAGCTTGACTCAACTCTCCACTTCCATACATTGAATACAAAAAAGGTGTTTTTCCAAACCTCCCCAAACTTGTCACGAATCTTTTAACGCTTTGAACAGCGACAGGACATAATGTTTCAATTGTACACATAGCGATTGCATAAAGCACATAATGGATAACATTTTCTGTTAATTTTTTATCTTTTAAATAAGTGAAAAAAGTCTTATTTTCGTATCCCCTAAATTCGTTTTCATCCCCATCTAAACAAGCTGTTAATAATTTCATTAACATTCGCTTCTCAATCACTGAAACTTTGGTGTTTGAAAAAACGTCTGATCGAGAACATGGAACGATTTCTAATTGGTTATTTAAATATGTTAAAACCCTGCTTACACTACGATATTCTGAGTAACGCGCGATGTTTGAGGAAATTAATAATTCGACAAAATCCCCACGGGCGAATTGAACCTATTTTATTAAAAAAAATTAGTTTTTCTTTTAATTTAATTAAAAAATCCTAACTTTTGGGGATATATCGATGTTAAATTTCCTATTTTCTTTTAATAACTTTTCTTGGCTCCACCCTTCATTTATCACATCGTCATTTTTATTATCTCCAACTTCTTTTACCTCTTCAACTACATTTAAATCTTCTTCAACGTTTTTTTCAGGAAATTTCCTTCAAAAATTAAATTAAATCAAAATTTTTAAATACAATTAACAAAATTGAGTTACTCAATAATATTCCAAGTCTGTTCAACGTCTTTTAAGTTAAATATATCATTCCCAACACCAACCACAACTTCATCATCTTCAATGGAAACACCATTTACATCGATTTGAGCTTCGTTTGATTCCATTGAAATAAGTTTTTGGATTGTTTCTAAATTAAAAGAGGCCCAATCGCCCCCATAATAATCTTTACTGTCGATTTGAAGTACTGTTTTTCCTATTCGACTTGCGGCTGCTGACACCATCGATTCTACAACACCTTTTTATACGAAAAATTAATGATTTTAATGTTTTTGAAATAAAAATGTTTTACCTGTTCCTACAACGATTAAATCAAAATTTGTCGGTAATTCGTAATCCATTTTAAACTTATTTAGTATATCAGCAATGAATGTAAAGGGATCTTATTGTTATTTGACTCGAAAAAAATTAGGTTATGGTACTGACTACTGTCAAAGTGACAGCTACTTTTAAGCACAATAAAAATGTATGAATGTATCTTAATTCATATTAAGAAGATTGTTTATTATTAATTAAATTGAGTTATATTTTATTAAAAAATCAAATTCGAATATATATTCAAAAAATAATTTGATTTATCATTTAGTATTTGAACGTACCCCAACTTAGCTTTATTGAGCTGTCATTTAGTTGTCAAAAATCTGACAAAGCGGTTTTTGAAACAACTTAATTTCTTGAATTTATATAATTATTTCAATACAAGCATCAAAATGGTAAGGAATAATTAAAATATATCAATCTTATTCGATAAATAAACTCAAATCAAATTAAATTATGTATTTAAAAAAAAAGTGAGGTTATAACATGATTTTTCATTTAGAGTTTTGGATTACCTTCTCTTAAAGTAAAACCGGAATTACCATCTGGATTGGGTATAGATCAAGGGGCATATGAAGTACCTAATTTAATGTCAACTGGATTCGCATCGGTAAAATCTAATTTGGAGGTGCCCCATCCGTTAATTTCATCAGAACGTGGTGTAAGTAACGCGAAAATGATTAATTTAGAATTTAATGTAATAAAATGTTTCTTTAGTATGCTAAAAATCGTGAAATGATGAATTTAACTATGATGAGAAACACTCAAGGTTTGCATGCTCCGCTTCGTTACACAATGGAATGTCAAGCTGCGAAAAAAATCGGTCATTTACCGTTTTTACCGTCGTCTAATATAATGTTGGATGTTTTAACTGGGAATGATATAGAAATTGGGCCTCAAGATATCTTTGGAACGCCGGAATTCAGGGAAATTGTTGGACAACCTCATGCTGTTGTTGAAAAATCTTTAGGAATACTTTAAACATTTATTTCTTGCTAATATTTAATGAAATAAATTTTTTTTATATTATAATTTCATTTATTCTTAGTTTGCATATTTTTTTCACTTCCTCTATTCCTGTTAAAAGTTCAATTTCTTTATTGTTTTCTAATCGTTTTTCTATGTTTATAAAAATTGTTGAAACTGTATTTTCACGTGCACACAATACAAAAGGAAATCCAAATTTATTTTTATACTTTTCATTAAAATTGTTTAATTTTGTTTTCTCCTCTTGATTCATTTCTAATAAACCCGCTGAGTTTTGTTCAAATTGAGACTCTGAGGTTAAACGCAAATTTAATTTACCAGATAAATCCGGGTGGAGATTTAAAACTTTTTCTTTATCTAAACATAAAATGATTGTGTTTATTTAAAATTAATTTTTATTTAACAATGACTCACCAACATTACTTAATTGATCCAAATACGTGTCAGCTGCTTTTGAAATGTCTTCGGCGGTGTTAAAAGGTCGATATTTTAAAATGCTTATAGACAAAGGAGTGTAATGTTCAACGATATTCCCGAAAATCTTTATAAATTGATCACTTGGTAATTCGTTAACTTCGTTTATACTCAACTCAATCGCGGTCATTTTTACGAATGAGGTCGTTTTTCGAGTTGTTTTGAACTTTAACTTTTCGAATAAACAAAGTATTTAAACATTCCTATCATTTTTACTTAATTTGATTTGTGATAAGAATCGAATAACTTCGTTTCACAAGAAAAAGGAATTTATATGAAATTAAATTATCAAGAAAAAGTTGAGAAAGTGAAAAGTAGATGGCAACAACCAAAAATAAAGCTAAATTTTGAAATTATAATAAATTTATCTTTTTGTTGAATTGTTTGTATTAATTCTTTTTTATTTTAATTTATTTTGTAGACATGTCAGAGAACGTAATAAAAGAATAAACTTTTTTATCGTTGAATTCTCCAAGCCACACCTTTTCTGTAGAGTTTTATCGGTCTCCGCCTTTTTACCTGAAACCCGAGCGCCATTTCTAAATTTATACTCGTTCCCTGAGAGTATTTATTGCACCTACGCGCTGAATATTCTATTGCCTATTTGGGTACTTTTTATTGTTAGCCGTCTATCTCTGTGAGATTAGGAGATATCTTTATATGTAGTATACGATTTCTCAACGAAACCCTTCCTTTTAGCTTCATAGTGTATTTTAAACTGAAAAATGTGGAATAACATCTTTGATTTTACAAAAATATATTGTTTGTTATGATAAAGTGTGATGAAAAATAATCGTAAATTAGAATAAAAGTAAATATTTGTATCAATCATGTATTCAAAATAATAATAAGTTAATAGTTTTATGATGTGATATCATGAAAACATTTACTTATGTGGAGTTATTTATAATAACATGTTTATTAAACATTTAAATAACGTCAATTCAATTTTAGACATTGAGTATGAAAATTTTCCAAAGTGTTAATAAAAGTGTACTCTTTCCAATAAACCAACCCGTTTTGAAAAATAACTTTTAGTTTTTGAGAAAACAATATTTGAAGTTTTGAAAAAATTTTCGATGTTGCAATTTTCATCGATAATTTTCAAAATTCGCTATAAAATTAATTTCTTGAAGGATCCTTGTGGAAATATCACCAATTATTAATTAAAGTATCCTCTTTTTAATGCAAAAAGCCGTTTTGAAAAATCACTTTTAGTTCTTGAGAAATAAATTTTTGAAATAATCGACAATTTTTTCGAATTTTGCAATTTCGCCGATTAAGTTTTAAAACTTCGTATAAAATCCATTTCTGGGAATATAAGTATGAAAATTTCCTAAAGTGTTAATAAAAGTGTCCTCTTTCCAATAAACCAACCGGTTTTGAAAAATAAGTTTTAGTTTTTGAGAAAACAATATTTGAAGTTTTGATAAAATTTTTGATGTTGCAATTTTCAAAATTCGCTATAAAATTAATTTCTTGAAGAATCACTATTCGTTCCATCACTACTTCCCAATATTATCTTGCTCAAAATTATTTTTTGAGCTTCAACTCTCTAAAATGTTGATTTGTGGTGAGCTGGAGTAGGGTATTCCAACTTTTTTTTTAGTCAAGCCTAAAGTAAACGAGTATCATAAACAATATAAGTACGAAGGCTTTCACGGTCGGTGTGAATTGAACTAAAATTAGAACTAACACTAGAAACTTTCGGGTTTTGCCGTACATCTTTTAAGAAAAGGTTTGATGCCGTGTTGCAACCTTCTTCAGAAACTGGTTCGAAGTGAGCTTCGAACTTAGCTTTCTTATAGTTAAAAAAAAATCACTGCCACCACGTTTGGGTTGGGTTGGGGAAACTCCCAATATATTGAGGAAAATTATTATTAATACTCGTAATAAACCTAAATTTGCCAAGAGTTTTAATATTTTTAATATAATTTAATTAACTTTTTGTAGGAACCTCAGTCTAGACAATTCTGAAGAGGATGATGAAGGGGATAATGATAATACTGCAATGCAAGACATCACCTCATCATTAAATGAGGAAAATCAACTTTCAACTCAACAAGAAAATACACAGATTAAAACACACCAGGATACACGATCAAAAAGTGACAATATGGAACAAGCACAATAGTTTAAAGCTATAAAAGGAAAAACATACATCTATTAGCAATGCTGAGAAAACACAAAAAGATGAGGCAATAAATGTAAAATTTAAAAGACCAAAAAAAGCGAGATATTCAAAAATTAAATAAAGATGCGAACGAAAGACAAAAAGAGTCCTACATGTTGTTGAAGGAATTGCAACAAAAACTACATTCGAAAGATCATTTCAGTATATTTGGAGAACATGTCGCATTAAATTCGACGTTTCAAAAGTGAGTATGCACAAAACACAGTAGAACATTTGATTGGAAATCTATTATGGGAGNAATATTTGAAGTTTTGATAAAATATTCGATATTACAATTTTCATCGATAATTTTCAAAATTCGGTATAAATTTAATTTCTTGAAGAATCCTTGTGGAAATATCACCAATTATTAATTAAAGTATCCTCCTTTTAATGCAAAAAGCCGTTTTGAAAAATCACTTTTAGTTCTTGAGAAATAAATTTTTGAAATAATCAACAATTTTTTCGAATTTTGCAATTTCGCCGATTAAGTTTTAAAAATTCGTATAAAATCCATTTCTGGGAATATAAGTATGAAAATTTCCCAAAGTGTTAATAAGAGTGTTCTCTTTCCAATAAACCAACTGGTTTTGAAAAATAAATTTTAGTTTTTGAGAAAATAATATTTGAAGTTTTAATAAAATGTTTGATGTTGCAATTTTCAAAATTCGCTATCAAATTACTTTCTTGAAGAATCATTATTCGTTCCATCACTAGTTCCCAATATTATCTTGCTCAAAATTATCTTTTGCGCTTTAACTCTCTAAAATGTTGATTTCTGATGAGCTGGAGTAGGGTATTCCAACCTTTTTTTGGTCAAGCCTAAAGTAAACGAGTATCATAAACAATATAAGTACGAAGGCTTTCACGGTCCGTGTGAATTGAACTAAAATTAGAACTAACACTAGAAACTTTCGGGTTTTGCCGTACGTCTTTTAAGAAAAGGTTTGATGGCGTGTTGCAACCTTCTTCAGAAACTGGTTCGAAGTGAGTTTCGAACTTAGCTGTCTTACAGTTAAAAAAATTACTGCCACCACGTTTGGGTTGGGTTGGGGAAACTCCCAATATATTGAGAAAAATTCCAAAGTACGTTGAATGCATTTACCACACAGCTCATTGGTCTTCATATGTAGCCTGCCGTAATTAAAGAAAATTATTAATACTCGTAATAAACCTAAATAAGGACTTATTAAATGAGGAAAATCAACTTTCAACTCAACAAGAAAATACGCAGATTAAAACACACCAGAATACACGATCAAAAAGTGACAATATGGAACAAACAGATAATAGTTTAAAGCTATAAAAGGAAGAACATACATCTATTAGCAATGAGAAATCTGCTGAAAACACACAAAAATATGAGGTAGTAAATGTAGAATTTAAGACACCAAAAAAAGCGAGATATTCAAAAATTAAATAAAGATGCGAACGACATACAAGAAGAAGCCTACATGTTCTTGAAGGAATTGCAACAATAACAACAATCGAAAGATCATTTAAGTATATTTGGAGAACATGTCGCATTAAATTCGACGTTTCAAAAGTGACTATGCATAAAACACAGTAGAACATTTGATTGGAAATCTATTATGGGAGGCTTCAACTGGCAAATATGACCACTCATATCCATACCATGGCCCACTTTAGCTTAGACTGTATTCGTCGCCGTCATCACCAGTGACACCTTCCACTTCTACTGAATATGTGCCTTCACCTTTGCCATTGCCATAAATACTTTCAACTACAGACAATGGTACAGCAAATGATCTCATGTCGAACAACATTCATTCGATCCAGTAAACTAAGATGATATTATTTACAACGCTCAGTTAAATTTATCATTAAAAAAAAATTAAAGTCAGTTATTAATACATTTTCTTTTCTTACATGTTCAGAGGCTCTTTTAGGTGATCTTTAAGAACTAATATAATAGCATCACAGACTTCTGGCACAATTAACGAAATTGCTTGTTTAGAGATTCGAAATAAGTATATTAAAGAAGTATACGAATCTCCCGTTGTAAGAAACAGAAGTGTTCGCACTAGACGTTCCAACCAAGAAATAGCAGCTCTGTAGTCAGTGTTACTTATACAACAAAAGTTCTTTATATTTCCATTGTCGATTCTGGATTCTGCTTTTAAATCATCTTTCTTTACAGAACTCATAAGGCGCATAATACCATGTGTATTTCTCTCTAAACGTCGCTTCCAAGTATCACGAACAATAATTGCGACGGCCGACGTCTTCGAAGTCGGATTTTGTTCGTGATACTTGGAGAGATCTTTTTATATAAGAAATAATCTCGGCCGACTTCGAAGACATCGGTAAAATATCACGAACAATAGATGAGCTAGAAACTCAAACGCTCCAATTGATACTTTAACTTCTCCTTGTAAACGTCACAACTTCGCAGCATATTCATTTTTAAGAGTTCCAACCGAATATAAGACAAAAATTAGTGTTTATATCATAATAATTCATTACCAGTGGCGTTATCCATGACTAAATTTGATTTGGATATAAGTCATTAAAGTTCGCACTGCGTAATAATAGTGTGGCGTCATCAACATACAATAAACATTCAACGTAAGCGTTTATAAGATAACGAAAATTGTATAGATAGGAACAAAAAGGTAATAAAACCTGAGGAACGGAACGCCCTAATATTATAATTTAAAACAAAAGGATAATATACATATATATATACGTATAGTATTGATAATAAACCAACTTGATTTAATCTCAAAGAAGTTTTGACAGATTTTGTTAAATCAGTCCAAAGTGAATAATAAAGAACAATATCTTTGAAATAAAGCTAGATTATAGTCTGTTAACACAATGAGTAGATAGAGAAAAGCAGAAGTGTAGAATCCTGGTTGCTACACAAATATTATAAAGCGTATTAATAAGTTAGCATATTGTCCGGAAGTGGATGGAAAGATAACAACTAATTTTATTCTTCCTATTTAAGAGATACAGTGGCTCACAGCTTATTTGATACTCTAGATAGTTTAAAATCTAATTCTAAACAAAGAATTGCACCAAATAAAATTTTCAAAGCAACTGACGACCGATTGATTATGCGAAAAATCAAGGCTAATCCAAAGTTATCTGCTCCAAAATTGGCTGTCGAGATCCACGAAGAGCTACCGAAATTTTGCAGTATTGAAACTGTGTGGCTTTTTGACGGATTTAGTCTTTATTGATGAAATTATAG